CTGCCGAGAGCTGAGCAAGCGGCATTGTTCCTTCTCAGATCCCTCCCCCACATAAAACACAGTGAAGTGGGTTGTCCCACCCTGGCGAAAACCTAAGGCTCTGCCTCTTCCAATGCAGCACGCATGCTGAGACAGAAATATGACCCAAATGAAGGACCAGATCAAAGATCCAAAAATAGAACTAAGCGATGAAGAAATAACCAACCTATCAGATACATAGTTGAAAACACTGGTAATCTGAATGCTCACAGAATTGCTTGAGTATGGTTGCAAAATGGAGGAAAAAGTGAAGGCTATGCAAAGCCAAATGAAGAAAAATATACAGGGAACCTACAGTGAAGGGAAGGAAACTGGGACTCAAATCAACAACTGGGAGCAGAAGGAAGAGATAAACATTCAATGAGAACAGAATGAAGAAACAAGAATTCAAAGAAATGAGGAGAAGCTTAGGAACCTCTGGGATGACTTGAAATGTTCCAACATCCGAATCATAGGGGTGCCAGAAGGAGAAGAGGAAGAGCAAGAAATTGCAAACTTATGTGAACAAATAATGAAGGAAAACTTCCCCAGCCTGGCCAAGGAAATAGACTCCCAGGAGATCCAGGAGGCTCGGAGAGTCCCAAGGAAGTTGGACCCATGGAAGCATGCACCAAGGCATATCATAATTACATTACCCAAGATTAAAAATGAGAAGAGAATCTTAAAAGCAGCAAGAGGAAAGGAGACAGTTACCTACAAAGGAGTTTCCATAAGACTGTCAGGTGATTTCTCAAAAGAAACCTTGCAGGCAAGAAGGGGCTGGCAACAAGTATTCAAAGTCATGAACGGCAAGGACCTACATCCAAGATTACTCTATCCAGCAAAGCTATCATTTAGAAAGGAAGGGCAGATGAAGTGCTTCCCAGATAAGGTCAAGTTAAAGGAGTTCATCATCACCAAGCCCTTTTTAAATGAAGTGCTAAAGGGACCTATCAAAAAAAAAAAAGAGAATCAAAAATTATGAACAGTAAAATGACAACAAACTCACAAGTATCAACAACTGAGCCTAAAAAAAGCAAAAGCAAAAACAAACTAGGCAAACTAGAACAGGAACAGAACCATAGAAATGGACATCAGAGGGGAAGGGGGAGGGAAGAACGGGAGACACGGTACAGGGAATAAGAAGCATAAGTAGTAAGTACAAAATAGACAGGGGGAGGTTAAAAATAGTATAGGAAATGGAGAAGCCAAAGAACTTATATGCAGTAACCATGGACATGGACTAAGGGGAGGGAATGCTGGTGGGAGGGGGGTGCAGGGCAGAGGGAAATAAAGGGGAGAAATAAAGGGGACAATTGTAATAGCATAATCAATTATATATATGATATATATAAATATAAGATATATTTCTTTTATATATATGTGTGTGTGTGTATATATACACACACACAAATTCATATATATATACATATACACACATATCTATATACATATATATATATATATATATATATTAAAAAATAAGGTATAAGGTCAAGTAACATGTCCAAGGTCATACAGCTGGAAAAAAATGACATCCTAATCATGGTAGTCTGGCATTAGAATTTGTTATTCATATTTTCTTATAATTTTGTTAAGAAGCACAGGAAAAAAAAGACCATATACTCACATTAAGAAAGCGGCCCACATTTCCTTCTTTTGTGGCATCCAATAAAAACACATTTCCTTTATTGAATTTTAGAGAGTCAGATGAAGTATTTTTGGTTTCACTTGGCAACTCTTTATCACAAAAGACTTGCTGGTTTTGACATGCTGGAGATTTTTTCTCTTGGGGCTTTAGTATTTGAACATCAAACTCCTTCATAATATTCTGATTATCCAATGTGGTTGCTTGGTTATATCTGCCCCCTGGTGAAGTTTCTTCTCTACATTTAGTTATATCTATCACATCCAATTCAATCAGGAGTTTGTCTTCAGAATCTTTAACTGGATTTGAGCTTGTGTACACTAGTAAACATTTTGGAAGGAATTGTCAGGAAATATACTTGGCTGAGCAATATTGCTGAGATTAACAATACTAAGTAAATGCTAGCTGATTTAATTACCACTAATCCTTACAATGTGTTAAAGCAGACAGTATTTCAATTTTATATATGAAAACTTTGAGTGTCTGAGAGTTTAAGGGACTCACCAGACTCACAATAGAGAAGTGGGGTAATAAACCCAGAAATGTTATTACCACATAACAATGTCTTTTAATGACTCTACATGTTGTGTCCTGTTACCATATTTAATCTCTACTCTCTACAAACTGACTTCTCTTCAATTTTGGAATCTGCATTTAAATATATTCTAAGTAGCTGTAATAGCAGTATGTAGGGAATGCTGTAGGCATTTAAGACACCAATGAAAGGTCTAACAAGACCCTGTTGAAGTCACCCTCTACAAAAACTGTATTGCTATCGGCTTTGTATACATTAGCCTCAGTGTTTTTTCCAGATGACAATTCAATAATCCCAATTTTACAAACAATAATACCTTAGAAGAAGATGAACTGGTTCATCAATTTTAGAAATAATTTTTAGAATATTCAAAAGTATGAAATTCATGTCAAATGAAATAAGCAAAATCATTTACTTATTTACTTTTACAAAGCCTTGTGCCACCTCAGTGGTATAAAGAAATTATACTTCTCTACAATCACTGTTCTTGATTTAAGCATTACTATTGCAAGCTGCTATTCATACATGTATTCTCACTTTAATCATAGATTACTTGTGAGTCCTAAGAGTACATAACTAAATTTTTTTAGTGCCTGCTATATATACATTGCAGTAATCAATGAAAATGGCAAAAGAACCAAAAGCAACAGTACTCATTACAGTTTACATGCATTAAAATGGTGAAAGAAATCAAAATATGTCATCCCAAAATATGCCTCTTTGACAAAACAATTATTTAAGTAGCATATGCCGGAAAAGCTTTCTGCCTCCCCCATCTGCCTAAAAGCAGGACATAAATTTACCCTACCAGGAAGGACAAAAGTTAATCTAGAGTTAATCAGACAACTCTAGAGGTTGTTAATCAGACAACTCTAGAGTTACTCATCCTGGAGACTGAACCAGAGAAATCTACATAACTAACTTTACTAACTAGCCTATATCTATCATTGGTTCCCACGTATTTCCCTTCCCACAATTTGCTACCCCCAAAGACTAAAGGTCCTTTTCTTTCGTCTTGATATGCCTCTAAAAATTTATTGTTCTCTGGTTAAGATTCTAGGTAAGCTGGAATTCTAAGCCACCAATCTGAGTTACTCATCTTAGTACAGCAGTCCCCTGGTATCTGTGGGAGATAAATTCCAAGACCCCTAGTAGATGCCTGAAACTGTGGATAACACTGAACCTCATAAATATTGTGTTTTTTCCTATACATACATACCTATAATAAAGTTTAATTTATAAATTGGGCATAGTAAGATTTTAACAATAACCAATAATAAAACCAAACAATTGGAACAATTTACTGTAATAAAAGTTATATATGACTGTGTTCTCTCTCAAAATATCTTAATATACTTATTTCTTCTTGTGACGATATGAAATGATATAATGCCTACATGATGAGAGGAGGTGAATGACATGGGCATTGTGATGCAACGTTAGGCTACCATACCGGTTACTTGAACACATTCACGAAAGCACAACAATCTGATCACTGAAATGGCTACTAAGTGACTAACGGGCAAGTTCCATATATAACATGGATAACCTGGATAAAGGGATGATTCATATCCTGGGTGATCTGGAAGGGGACAGTGTAAGATTTCATAATGCTACTCAGAATGGCATGCAATTTAAAACTTATGAACTGGAATGTGAAACAGTGGATAAGGGGGGACTACCATACTCCTAAGTGTTACATGTACAACACATATGGTAATGGTAATACATAGTAATAAACTGGGTTTTTTTTTTTTGTTAGGGCCTCAGCCAGACAACCTAAGATGGGTAGAGAAAGAGATTCTTTTCTCCCCTACAATGGTGAATTAATTATAATACATAAATGCTTTTTCTTGATAGATCTTTTCAGTCAAGGAGCTTCCTCCAATCTCCATCTTCTAAGACCAGGTAGGGGATTGGGAGTGCAGATGTAAGGAAACTCAAAGGGAGAACTAATGGCTGGTCAGTTCTTCAAAAGCGATCACCTCTCAACAATGTCCCCCCACTGATGAATATACTGAAATGCAAAAGTACCAAAACCTAGATTTGTCGAGTTGTAATATTAATTATAGCAGGGCTGGTAACACTGAAATATAAGCACTCAGGGTAACAATATTTTCACTTTTTGCTGAGCATCCCCAGCAGCAGTTTTGGCTGGAATATTGCAGGAGAATGCTGTGTCTTTATTTTCAAAGGGCCCCCAACAAAGAGTGAGGAAATGGCTGCTTTGGACAATGCTTTCAAAGCCACACGTAATACCATGGACAATGCAGGCTAAGAGTGGTCCACCCGACTCCATCCTACCATATGTCAAATCACTAGTGGCACCTAGAAGAGAGGTCAGCAAACTTGTATAAAGGGCTAAATAGCAAATATTTTAGGCTTGTTTTTGGCCATATCGTCTCTGTCATGATTATTTAACTCTGCTGCTATAGCATTAAAGTAGAGACAATAGGTGAACGAGTGTGGCTATGTTTCAATAAAACTTTATAGACACAAATTATTATTTCATGTAATTTCCAGGTGTCATCAAATATTATTCATCTCATTTTTATCAGTTACTTAAAAAGGTAAAAAAAATCTTAGCTCATGGTGGGTCATACACACATAAATAGGTGGTAGTCTAGATTTGGCCCACAAGCTGTACATAGTGTTTTGCCAGCATCTGATTTAGAGAAGTAGTAGCTTTTGTGATGGATGCAGCATGTTTGTTTTGGAGTGTGAGAAAATAAACCACAGATATTGAGCAAGACAGACAAAAAAGCAGAAGAGGCAGGCACAGAGTTAAACAATGCCTACTTTCCATATCCTTGGCTTTAGAGGTCAGATGTACTTGAGTTGATTTAAATCCATCATTACCTTCGGAAGTGACAGATTCTGAGGAAGAAAATCCCTTAAAAGAAAACGAGGAAGATGTTATTTTTTAGGTCAGGAAAGAAAATTTAATTTAGCAGTTAGGCCCTTTCATCAAGTGTCAGTCTTCACAGGCTGTGGCTACAACATTAGTTTTGAAAGCCTCAAAGCTGGTATCATAGGAAACTTGGGAGTGATGGAGCCCTTCTGGCTGTGTTCTACTTGTAGACATGTTAGTAAACTACAGGTATAAAGACTATAAAAACAGTCAAGATGTTCTTTAGGCATTAAAATTCAAAATAAAATTCAAACACATCTGTATCCTTAATCTATGAATTTGGCTTCAAGTATAAGGTGTACAAAGATAAAAATACTCTGGCTAGTTTTCACTTCCAAAAAAAAAGGTTAAAGAAGTTGCCTCTTTAAAAAAAAAAAAAAATTATTTTTAGAAAGAGGGGATGGGAGGGTGAAAGAGAGGGAAAGAAACACGGATCAGTTGCCTCTCACACACTCCCAACTGGGGACCTGGCCTGCAACCCAGGTATGTGCCCTGACTGGGGAAATCGAACAGGCAACATTTTGGTTTGCAAACCTGCACTCACAGCACTCAAACCATTGAGTCACACCAGCCAGGGCAGAAGTTGCCTATCTTTCCGCATTGTAGACACTGCAGTCACTTAAAATGGTAGTAACTTTTCAAAAGAGTTATCTGCTTAGCACAATGCATGGCACTCCACTAGCTGCTCAGGAAATGCTGACCATTATTGTTATTCAAGTACTTAAATGGTCAACATTTATTGAGCACTTCCTAAGTGTTAAGCATGGTACAACAGGTTTCAGATGTTTATCTCATTTAATCCTCTTAACTGACTTAAGATACTATTACCTTCATTTATCAGATAAAGAAATGAAGACAAGGTGATGTCACCCAGCTAATAAGCAGTAGAGCTGAATGTCAAACGTTGGTCTGTGTGATACCATGGCCCAATCTTTTCAGTTATGTGATACTAAGGAGGTTCCCGCTCTAGGTTAGTAGGTAGAGGGTGAAATTTGCCCAACACCCAGGGCAGAATTTTTATTTTTCATCAAAGCCCTAATGTTAACCACCATTATGCTTGCCTCTCTTTGCTGCATGTTTCTCTGCTTCTAGGTTACAGTCTCTGACTAGTTATTCTTGTCAGTTCAGATTGAAAATGTATCTCCAGAGTCTATCATGTAAAATGTTGCTTTCTGGATGACCTTTCATTAGGTTGCATCTCTTCTTTTTCATGTGTCTCACAACCTAAATTACTCCATCCTCTTTCTTAATATTGTTCTGATTATCATCAACTCAAAAACTTTAGCTTCTACAAATTCTCAACTGAATAGCTCTCAGTCTCAGTGGAACACACTATCAGATCATGACCAACATTCTCCTCAAAAGTGTAAGTTTGGGAACATGCCAACCACCATGGAGGATACTCAGTAAATAAACCATGGTCATTAACACTTCAACAGCACGCCCATTCCAAAACAGTAAAAGGAATCCTGCACATTATTGAGTAGCACAAACAATTTGAACTAGGTAAAAGATAGAAAGGTGAAGTAATAGTTAATGTTCTCAGTAGGGCCCCATCTACATTTAGCAGTTTTTACCATTTTTTTCCCATCAGGTTGAAAAATGGCTATCTTGGCCTTTGGAGTTCTAATGGCCGAATGATAACGAATTCTTGAAATATTGTTACATTTCATATCTCTGAAAAGAAAAAAAAAGTTATTCTCTTTACTAGACCTTGAAATATAGATAATATGTTACTGAAATATCCATCAGAAATTAATATAAGTAATAACATATATGCCTGAACCCTACCAGAAAAGGAGAATATGATAAAGTCAATCATATTTTTAAATGTTAAAAAAAGAAAATAGATGAAAAGTACTGGAAATAGAATGGTGAGAGAAAATAAAACTGCAAAGTACATCCATAAAGATCCTGATTAAAGTCATCAAGTTTTTAAAGGTAAAACTCCAGAAATAAACTACTGAGGAAATAAAGTATGTTGGCTACATTTTAAAATCTAAATGTCCCAGATTTCTCAGTGTTCAACTTACAACTGTGAAGCACGTTTATATACAGGAAGTATACAGGAGTCGGGGGAAAGAAAAAAAAGAAAGAAAAAAAGGAAGGAAGGAAAGAAGGAAGGAAGGACGGACAACCACACTTGACCAATATTACAGATCAGTTTTTGACTGGATTCCTAAGATCTTACTTACGTAATAGGCTTTTTTGGATTATTATTAAACTTAAGTGGACACTCTTCAGTCTTAGTATTTCTAGGATGTGTTTCCAATTCTAATGGAATAACTTCAACCTCACAATCTGCAACTTCTATTTTCCTCTTTTTTGAAAACATATTTTTCATAGTATTTTCTTCTTTTCTATTTTCATCAATAGCATCAGGTTTCTCAGTGTTAGACCTGCTTAGTAATCTTCCTAAGAGAAAGTAAAAGAGTTTAACAAGACAAAAAAATAATGTAGTAATTGCTAAGCAACAAAAGGGCATCTCTATTCTGCTCTGTAACTAAAGAACTCTGTGAGGTGGACCTTATTTCTAGAATGAAGACAAACACATTAACATCCTAGAGAACTACTGCAAGAAATAATAAAAGACCAGGAAGAGATTTCATGTCTTGCCAGTATATGAAAAAGTATAGGACATTTAAAAAAAGCACTTGTCTATTTTGGTATAACATGAAAGGGAAGAGATTTAGCTACAATAATATTACACAAAAACATAGATCAGAAGGTATTTTAGAAAATTATAGAATTGAAATCTAGTCTTAACACTGAAGTTTTGGTGTCTAGATAAAAGAGCTTATCACTTAAAACCAATACTGTTTTCAGAAATGACATTTAAATCTGTGGTGATATGTATCTATTGTTCTCATATTTAGTCCTAGGGTAACATTAAAATCTTAGTTTATTTTTTTAATTTATTTTTTTATTTTTAGAGAGAAAGGAAGGGAAGGAGAGAGGGAGAGAAACATCAATGCATGGTTGCCTCCTGCATGCCCCCCATTGGGGACCTAGCCTGAAACCCAGGCATGTGCCCTGACTGGGAATCATACCAGTCACCCTTTGGCTAACAGGCTGGCACTCAATCCACTGAGCCACCACAGCTAGGGCAAAATCTTAAAGCGTAGCCATTTTTTCCTTCCCCAAGGGAGTCAAAATTACAGTTACCAAGCCAAAGTTGGCAGCTGGATCAGAGATACCTTAGTTCCATTTTCTAGCAATGCAGATAAAGGCAATACTTCCTACACAGTATTCGGCAATTTATAGGCATCTGACTTTCATCAAAGAGTTATTTTGACAAATATAAGAGATGACCGTCTAGGCAAGTAAGTGATATGTGGCAGGGATCCAAGTGTGACTGTTTTGAATTCTGATAATTCTTGCTCTCAGTGAAGTGAACCAGGAAATTCAAATGAGGAGGGTTAGTTACTCTGGTCCCTGCTACCTAGCTCAAAGACTTAGACCAGCACATTACCTTTAGGCTGGCTCTAGTAGCGCCATATTTCCTCAACCCTCATTTCCTGGTAAAGATAGAGAATGAGGAACTTTGCTTGACACTCTGAAGTAAATGGTTAAGATTGTTGGAGACTGACACGTCTGGCCTGGGGGCCATTGCCCTAAATAATCAGTAACTCTACAACTGTAACACAATGGTTGCAAAGTCTTGTTCAGAATGCGGGAAACTCTTGAGACTCTCAAAAGTAGTGTGCTGCCTAAGTTAATGTCTGGATCACTACACACAGGTATTTATTAGAAAATTACCTTATTAAATCCTTTTAAAAAATATTTTATATATTTATTTTTACCGAGGGGGAGGGAGAAAGGAGAAAAACATTGATCAGTTGCCTCTTGCATGGGTTCCAACCAGACACTGGCTGCAACTCAGGCATGTGTCTGATCAGGAGTTGAACTGGCAATGCTTCACTTTGTAGGATGATGCCCAACTAATTGAGCTACATCAGTCAGGGCACCTTATTAAATTCTAATAGCTCAAAACATTGAATAAGGTAGTCTTTGATTGATAATTTAGTAATTTAGTTTTCCTATTTAAAAAGTTTTCTTATCTTACACCAAAGCATCTGTACCCATGAAGACAAAAAAAAAAAAAAAAAATAAGTGCCTCACAAAATTACTCAAATTTTATTTCTGAGCCTTTCTTTTCTAGAATATCACCTCCTAAATTATCTCATCCCTTCAGTATTCAAGTTCCCAGTCACTTCTTTCCTCTGATGCTCCTCCTCTATATTGTTACTCTTGTCCTGTTATAAGATGTCAATGGCGCTAACTAGTAAAATGAAGATTCAGAACTACAGATACAGTCATTTGAAAATAAACCTTTGCTTTACCTGAGTAAGTACAAACAAATGTCCCTCTGTCAATGTCATCCAGGCAGCGTACTCCCCATCCCTTCTTCTCAGTTTTGAACACCTGTAGCCTCACTTGAGGTCCATGCTGAACAACTCGATTTTGACACATTTGTCTACTACACTTGCACAATAAGCTACATTCATAAATGCTGTCAATAAAATATATAAGAGAAAATCAATCAGGTATTTTATCAGGACAGCTGTTGCTTGTTTGGATAATATTTAGGAAGTTGTGATGCAGCCATTCATCTGGAAAAGCAGCATGGGTGGGCCCGTAAGTTGGATGCAGGGAGTCTCTGGGGATCTCTGGGGATCTCTGTGGAGAGTGAAACAGTGTTAGCTAGGTTGATGGAGTCAAATATGGTACCACCCTGCTGGCTCTGTGGCTCTGCCTGGGGAGAGCTCAGAAAAGGGACAATGCCTTCTGCTCGCCCCAATGTCAGACACTTCAGCCTCTCCCAGTATGCCACTGGTGCCTTTCAAGCTGCCACCCCAGCACTGGAGCTCAGAGGGAGTGAGTCTCAGTAAGTGAGTTCGTGTGTGGGTTAAGAGGAATTGTTTGTGCCTCCAGCAGCTTCTTCCGCTGATTCAATCCTTGTTGGCTTTTGCAGGCAGACGGTGTGGGGTCTTATTTTCATGGCACTGGAACCTGGGTAGGGGAGGCCTGGTGTGGGGCTGTGCCTACTCACTCCCACGACATCTTTCCCAAATATTTATCCACCACACCACTGGTGAGAGACCACCCCTTTCCACGTTTGCGCTCCTCCTACCAGTCTGGATGGATGTGATTTCTTTAATTCTGTAGTTGTCACACTTCCATTCAACTCAATTTCTGATGGTTCTGAGTGATGGTTGTTTTATATTTTAGTTGTAATTTTAATGTGATTGTGCAAAGATGCGAGCCTGTCTGCCTACAACTCCATCTTGACCTGAAGCTCCCGATTTTATATATAAAATATCACAGGATTGTTCTGTGATGTTTAAATGAGTCAACATTTACAAGGTGCTTGGGACAATACCTGGCACATACTAAATATTATCTCTTTAAAAATGTCTAGGAAAGTCTAAGAAGAAAATGGGAAAGGAATGTCTAGAAAAAAAAATGTTCTATTTGTTTGTTTTTTAATAACAATCTTGGAGGGTTGAAAATGCCCAGTTCTTAGAAGAGCTTTGCACAGGATGCTTCTTAAGGAGAAATGGCTTCCCAAAGAAGGCTAGCTCTAGAGGGCAAGGACCAGATTCAAAACACATGAGCATGCAGTTCATGCACACTCTGCATGATACGTTTGTGGTCACTGACTTCCATTGCCAAGAACAACACACAGGTTCAAAAAAAAAATCCTTAATTTAGATTAAAAAATTAGTATTTAATATCTGTAAGATTACAGGTACAATAATAAAGAACCCACCTTCAAAGACACAAACATTCTGAAACAAATCCTCAAGGTATCTTACCCAGTTGGTATGTGTCTCTGTAGTCTTTTATATTTATATCCAATGGTTATTTTATCTCTTGATATGGGGCAAATCTCAGCATTCCTTGCTGTCATTTGAAGACATGCACATTTTGTTCTACAAAGGAAAGCAATAAAGGGAGAAGTGAGAATTAAAAAAGCACCAGCTTAAGTAAAGAGACTTGATTGAAGTGTAAATGATATAGTGAAGGATGTAATTGTATATAGGATAGTCATTTGCCTCATGAACAGCTGAACTTTTTCCCTAGATAGACCTCCTTGAAGATTATTTACCAAGTTTATAAATAATTATGAACTGCTCTCTACCTTTATTCACTCATGAAATAAATACATAACCATGAGTTTTCTTTAACTTTTCAAAATGAACTCCTTTCATTTCCCTTTCAGCAGAAGCTTGTTTGTGAATATTCTCCTAGGTCAACTCACTTCCTACAATGAATAAACTTACATGTGTCAAACTCAAAAAGGTGTACATAGTTTTGCAGATGTCTTAAATTATCTTTCTTTCCAATGACACAAAAGCAGATTGGGTAAGTTGACACTGGATATCTGCTTACTAAATTTATTTTTTTATAATGTTACTAAACAAGAAACATGCAACCATAATCTTTCCCCCCTCTATTTGATTGTTTAACATGACAGAAACTTATAACTTGATAGGGAGTAAGGAACCTGGGTTATCTCAGTTGTAAATTGGATATGTAACTACTGATGAGTTGGTTAAAATCTCTGGATCTATCTCCTTTGTTCAACAAGTTACTCTGAGGTCTCTTTGTTGATGATTCTTTTCTGTATTTTTCTGTATATACATAATACATGCATAAAAGAGGTGACTACTATTTGCAACAGAATAAATAAAAATTTCATTTGGATTCTATTACAGATGCAGAAATGTAAAGTTGTTTTGATATGGTTTTGCTTGCCAAATTTAAAAGTACAGAAAAATACAAATAATGTAATAAAGACTCATATTTCTACCTGTCTTTTTGTCTAGTCCTTCTTTTCCCTATGTGTATCATTTAAAATATATACTATGTCCAGAAAAAGTCCAGCCATTGTTAATATAACAAGAACCATTCATATGACATTGCTATAACCTGGCAGCCAAGGAAAATAGACTGGAATGCACATGAGGTGAACAATGACGACTTCACTGTACTAGTCAGTGTGGGTGTTAGATGCTGTTGAGTGCCCATGTGTACTGTGTGGCTGTTGCATTAAGCAACAAATCTGCATCATATTTTGCATTAAGCTTGAACATTCCCTCCGCGTAAACTATCTGGATGATTCAGAACGCTCTCGGGGACAATGCAATGAGTGCAGCACAGCTAAAAGTGTGGCACAAACATTTCAAAGATGGTTGAGAACCTGTTGAAAGTGATCCACATTCTGGAAGGCCTGCAACAAGCAGAATACCTGAGAATGTTGAATATGTATGGGCTGCGATTAACAAAGATCAGCGACTGACAGTATAAGAACAAGAAGCTGATCTGGGGATTCCAAAAACTACTGTGTCTGAGATTTTGACAAAGGATCTTGTATGACATGTGTTGTGGCAAAATTCATTCCTCAGCTTCTGCTACCAGAGCAGAAGGAACATCATACTGCAATTGCTAATGACTTGATTCAAACCACTACCAATGAACCAGATTTCCTCAAAAAGGTCGTAACAGGAAATGAATTGTGGATCTATGGCTATGATCTGGAAACGAAGGTCCAGTCGTCCCAAAGGAAGTCGCCTGGTTCTCTGCGCTCAAAAAAGGCATGGCAAAGTCACAGCAAGATCAAGACCATGCTAACTGTGTTTTTTGATTGGGAGGGTGTTGTCCATCATGAGTACACACCCCTAGGCCCAACAGTTAATAAGGAGTACTACCTCAATGTGCAATATGATAAAAACAGCTGCAGCTATGGCCAACTGGCGACTGACAGCTTCATCATGACAATGAATCTGCGCATGCATCATGTCCCATGCAGAGTTTTTTGGAGAAATGTCAAATCACCCCCTATAGCCCAGATTTGGCATCCCGTGACTTTGGCTTTTCCCAAAACTAAAATTACCTTTGAAAGGGGAGAGATTTCATACTATCAGTGAGATTCAGGAAAATATGACCAGGTAGCTGATGGTGATTGGGAGAACTGTGTGAGGTCCTGAGATGCCTACTTAGAAGGGGACTGAGGCATCACTGTCTTATGTGCGATGTTTCTTGTATATTGTATACTCTTCAATAAATGTATTTTTCATATTATATGAATGGACAGTTTTTGGAAAGACTTTGTACACTGTTTATATAATCATCTTTAAAAAATTTACTCTATTTACTTGCTTTTTCTTTTAATATTATGTTTTTGAGACCCAATCCATGTTATATTCAAATAGTTAATTCCTTCAAATGTTTCCACAGCATTTAGATATACAATTGCGTTATTTAATTGATTCAAGTTTTCAATGAACATCCTATTCTTATGCACATGTGTAAGCATCACTAGAATAGTAGCTTTCAAATATTTTTTTACTATGATCCACAGTAGAAAATACATTTTTTTCAGGATCCTGTACAAGCACACATATTTATATGTGTGTACATGTGTATAAACTGAAACAACAGTAGCATGAAACTTGACCCTTATTGTATGTGACATACTTGGGTCCACTTTTGTACTATTTAATTTTAAAAATGCTAGTTACAACCCCTTAAATGATTTTATATCCCACTAAACCTATAGCTTGGAAAACAATGCTCTAAATATGCTTAAAAGTACTATTGCGGGAAAGTACATATGCACCTCTTCTAGTGCTGTGCAATTGCTTGCACACCCTACTGTCCCTGTCAAACAACTGACTGGCTTGGTATGAAATTCTAGTTTTAATTTGTTTTTCTTCAGTATTTTAAGTTAATATACTTCTATGGTTGTATTATTATCTGATGCAAAGTGTGTTATCAGGCTCTTTTTCCTCTTTTCTGAGTGTCTGAAATTACTCTTTACCCTAGATACTTTTTAAGTCGCACCAATATATTTAGATTTATCTTATTTTCCCTTCTTAGTACTTAGCAGGCTCTTTCACTCAGAGGATTCCAGTCTTTTCTCAACTCTGGAAAATTCTCAGCTATTATCTCTTTTTTTTAACCTCTCTCATTTTTTCATTGCTTTTATAAAGAGAGCAAGGGGGAGAGGGACACAGAGAAAGAGACAGAGAGAGAGAGAAAGAGAGAGAGAGAGAGAGAGAGAAATACGGATGTGAGAGAGAAATATCAATGGTTGCCTCCTGTTTGTGCCCTGAGTGGGGATCAAACCCACAACCAAGGTATGTGTCCTTACTGGGAATTGAACCTATAATCTTTTGGTTTAGGGGACGACACTCCAACCAACCAAGACACACCGGGCAGGGCTCAGCTGTTGTCTTTGAATGGTGCTCTTTTCTTCACTGCAGGTGAATATTACAGTTTCTCCTCCATATTTTTTAACCTGTAAGTTACTTTTCACATATCTTTATCTCTTTGCATTTTGAGAGTTCCTAGTTTTTGCCATCCAATTCACTAATTCTTTCTCCAGCTATACCAATGCTAACATTTAATGCATCTATTTCATATTTTTATCTCAATTACCGTATGTTTTATTTCCTGTATCTCCAAATGGTTCTTCTTCATATATGCCCCTTTTATAAAAATAATCTCCTTTTCTTGTTTCATGGATGCTAGTATTTTAGCTCTTTGGAAATTTTAAATATATCTATTGTAAATTACCTTTCAATCAGATTCTACATTTGCCTCTGATTCTTCAGATGTGAATTCTCCCATTTGATGGGATTCAACCTGGCTTCGGGGTCCTAACTGTTGTCTTTGCATGCTGTGACTGTCTGAAATCATACATTTTATGGGGTTTACACCTGTATGTTCTAAAATTACATATAGTCAAATTATTCTTTAAAAAAAAAAACAAATCCTAAAACTGACTATAAAGTAAACACTGTCCACAGTCATTTTTTTCCTCCAGCACTGAAAGAGATTGAGCTTGGCCACATACAGTGGGGTTATACTTAGAGGCAAAGTTTTAAAAAAACAAACAAACTTATTTTTAAACAGAATTAAACTTGGTACAGTGACAGGTTTCCTCTATGACAAGCCAAAGGAACTGAGCCACAGTGATCTAACAGCAGATTTACATATCTCACCTCACATTCCAACAGTGTGGTGAAAACTACTATCCATACCATTTATTTATTTTTATCTCTCTCATTCTTTTGCCTAGTATAGAAAGCTAAATTTGCATTAAATTAAATGTACCTATAATGCAACTCCACTCTATATACGCATACGTACAAAAATCTGTATATTATACACTCTTAAAATGGTCTGAAAGTCCTAAAATATTAAACATGTTTTCACTTTTTATGGAATATCAATGTTATAATCAAGAGAGTATTAACTATAAGCACCATTAACTTTCTAAAAAATAGCAAGGAAATGATTTGTAGAAGTAAACCACAACATATACCATAGTGGTTAAGAGCACAGCATGGGTTCAAATTGCAGCTCTTCAATTTGTTTGCCCTATGATCTTACAATTAGCTTCTTGGTTTCCTCTTCTGTAACATGGGAATAATATTACTACCTCAAAGAGTTTTGTGAGAATTAAATAAGAAACTGTATGTAAAGCAACTGTTATAGTGTCTGGCCCTGTCCCATGGCATTAACTGTAATTGCTGCTGTTATGATTATGATACTAGCTTAAAGAAATACTCATCCCCCGGGCTGGTGTAGCTCGGTTGGAGCATCATCCTGTACACCAAAAGGCTGGGGTTCTATTCCTGGTCAGGGCACACAGATAGGTTGAGGGTTTGATCTCCAGTCAGGACATGTACAAGAGGCAACTAATCAATGTTTGTCATGTCTCTCTGTCTCTCTCAAATCAATAAACATATTTAAAAAAAATACTTGGAGGAAATAATTCTAAAATTACTGTAAAATCAGTGAAAAGTTTTCTTTCCCATTGCTAGTGAGAGAGTGCATCTTTCCATTTTAGATTCTTAGTGAACAGTTTTAGATAGACAGACAAATTGATCCCAACACAGCAGGACTTAACAAGTACCCCTGCATTCAGAAGATTTTTTGAAATGCCATAGTATTCTACTCACATGTCTATGCATCCCTCAGAGCAGTCACATGAATCAGTAAACATGTTGGAAAAGCTGCTTAGATAATACGCTCTTGGCCACATAGTCTTTCTGTACTTAAAGTGTGGAAGCTTTCTATTGTCAATTTCATTACAGAAAGAAATGGGCACCAATTCCACTCCATTGCTAATATCCAGATCAGAAACAATTTCTTCTTGCTTTGGGTAATTCCGAGTCAACTGAACATAGGTATTGAAAGAAAAGTTATCTGTATATAAAAAGTTACACTCTGTCTCAAGCAGGTAACGAAAAACTTCCTCCATGTTTCGCAGACTCCTTCCACAAGGGGTTTTATAACTCACATGGAGTGCTGAAGAATGAGAATTTGTCTTTGCATGTCGTCTTTGGAAGTGGCATGTAATTGGTAGCTGCAGAGGGTTTTCTCCCTTGAAGGTTAGTGGCATTTTCATCAGACAGGCACCAGAGCAGTCATGACTTTGGTAAGATAAATTCAAAGAGGAGTCTTCTTCTCTAAAGTCCACAATTTTATTTTCCAGAAGGGAAGATTCCTTATTTTTTGTAGTGCTGTTTAAAATTAATTACTTATTAGTATCTCAAATTTATAGTACAACTCCCCATTTAAAAATACACTGCACACTAAGGTGGCAATTAGTTCTAACATTTTCTTAGACAATACAAAAATAAGCCAGATGCTGAAATAAACATCATAATATGTTCTGCAGCTATGTAAGGGTATGCCTCGAAGGTCTTGTCTTGAGGGTCTTTTCCCCTCTCCAGAAATCAAGTATGTGGTGTTTTTTTTACAACACATCTCCAACTGGGAGTCCAGTAATTCAGTTCAATTCTGACACTCTCTATCCCAAGTCAGTATCAGATCCCACAAGTTAAAGGGTTCGGTCCCACAAGACTGTTCCCATTTCAGATACAAAATACAAGTCCTGGGCACCAATACTTCTGACTGACCCTGAGGTCCCCACAATCCCCCTCCTTCAGGTTTGATAATTTGTAGAAAGACTCACAGAACACTTTAATTACTATTACTGATTTATAATGAAAGATGGAACTCAGAACAGACAAATGGAAGTGATGTATAGGGCAAGACAAGCAGGAAGTGTCATGGAATGCCCTCTCTATGTGTGTCACCCTCGTAGCATCTCTAAGTATTCAACCAGGAAGCTTCCAGAACCCTGTTGTTTAGAGGTTTTTATAGAGGTTCCATTATATAAGTATGCTTGATTAAATCACTGACTGCTGGTGATTATCTAACTCTCTAGCCCTTCTCTCCTCCCTGGAGGTTGAAATGAAGGGCTGACAATACAAAAGAACCTATACACCCCAATGTTCATAGCAGCACAATTTACAATAGCCAAGTGTTGGAAGCAACCTAAATGTTCATAAGTAGATAGATGATTGGATCAAAAAATTATGATACATATACACAATGGAATACTACACAGCAGAAAGGAAAAAAGAACTACTAAACTTCGCGACAGCATGGTTGGAACTGGAGAGCATTATGCTAAGCGAAATAAGCCAGGGGGCAAAAGACAAATACCATATGATCTCACCTATAAGTGGAACCTAACTAACAATACAAAGATGCAAGGAAAATATGACCAGCAAAACTGAAAGGAAAAGAAATCAACAGAGACAAGAGGGAAGGAGGGAGGTGGGGGCAGGGAAAGGGAAGGGAAGGGGAAAGTCAAGGAACGTATAGCAAGGACTCATGGACAAAACCAAAGGGGAAGAGCTGAGGGAGGGAAGGAAGGAGGGGGCAAGGGAAAGTGGTGTGGGGGAGGCAGAGACAAATGTATTTAAAAAAAAATAAAGAAAGAAAGAAATGCTTGAAAAGAAAAAAGAATAATAATAATAATACAAAAAAAAAAAAAGAAAAAGAAATGAAGGGCTGAAAGTTTTAAGCTTCTAATCAAGGTTTATTTAGTCTTTCTGGCAACAAAACCCCATCCTGAAGCTAACTAGGAGAGTCTCACCAAGAGTCATTTTATTAGCATGTCAAAGATATCCTTCTCATTTAGGAGGTTCCAAAGGTTTTAGTAGTTATGTGCCAGGCACTGGAACAAAGAACAAGTATCTTTTTTTTAAAAAATCATATCAAAACCTAATTTCAGACTATTCCAGAGAGCTGTGATTATAGCTGTATCATTCTGCTATGGCACCTAGCAAATTTAGAGTTATTTAAAGCATGAACTCAATAAATAGGTGAGGAAGGTTACATCTTCAGGCATGCTTGATTCAAGCCTTCTGCCTGCAAAGAACAGTAAAGGCTAGCCAAAAAATAATTCATTCATCAAGAATCCTTTACAGAGTGTTTGCCTTCAACCACTGTTACCAATTAAATTTTTTCCATATGTAATTCAGGTAGCATCATAATGATCCATCTGAAAATGGTAAACTGACAGGAGAAAATGGGGCAGTTACTCATTTTAAGAAAAAAAAAAATCTGTGAAAAGCTTCCATATATATTGGGAACTCAGGTTTTACTTTTTCACAAAGAACCTCAGTTTTGTTTTACATAATATTTTCTATATTTAGGTGTCTTTATTATAAAAGTAATACATGTATTTTAGGGATGATATTATACTCACTACACAAAGCAGCACTATTCAACAGAACTTTCTGCACCAGTGGGTATATTCAATATTTGTGCTATTCAACCAGGTAGCCATTAGCTACATGTGGCTACTGAGTACTTTTAAATGTGGCTAGTGCAACTAAAGAACTGAATTTTAAATTTTATTTAATTTTGATTAATTCAAATTTAAATAGCCATGTGCAGCTACCATATTGAATGTATAGATAGGAGGTGTCTCTTCCGTTTTTCCAGCTGTATAGTAACCCTCTGAATAAATTTCGCAATTCATTCTTTATTGTTTCCAATCTTTTGCTATTATAAATCATTATGTGATAACCTTGTACATAGCCTTTCCATACATGTAAAGATATCACTACAGAATACATTACCAGAAGTGGAAGCACTAGATCACAGGGCAAATGGATTAGTAATTTTGTTAAGATTGCCAAATTACTCTCCTTGGGATTGGCCTCTATAGCAATTTATGAGTGCCTGCTTCCACAACCTCATCAATCAATGGCTCTTGATGCTGCTGAATTTCTGACAATCTAATAGTCTAAACGATAGAAATTTATGTCTTTTTTAAAAAAGATTTTATTTATTTATTTTTAGAAAGAGGGGAAGGGAGGGAGAGAAACACTAATGTGTGGTTGCCTCTCACACGCCCCCTACTGGGGACCTGGCCTGCAACCCAGGCATGTGACCTGACTGGGACTCAAACAGGTGACCCTTTGTTTCCTAAATTGGCACTCAATCCACTTAGCCACAACAGCCAGAGTGAAATTTATGTTTTTTAATGTTGGATACATTTGTTTCCCATTTTTCTGTTATTACTTAAATTTTTATTTATTGATTTGAGAGAGGAAAGGAGAAAGAGAAACAGAGAAACATCCACCCCTTGCTCCACCCATCCATGCACTCACTGGTTAATTCCTGTATATGACCGAAGGAGGAATTGAACCTGCAACCCTGGAGCATCGGGACAATGCTCCACCCAACTGACCAACTGGCCCAGGGCTCTGTTACTACTTTGGTAAATATCTTTACACGTAAACCCTTGACCAAATTCCTGATCATTACCTTAGTATACATTCCTTTAAGAGGAACTACTAGGTCAACAGGAATATACATTTAAAAATAACTTTTTATTAATAACACGTTCAAAATACACAAAAAAGTATTATTTTCTCAAAAGAAAAGACATATATTGGACTTCCATGCACTTGTGAGAACTGCAGAACTTGGCACAACTCTGTCAAACCTCTGCACTAAGAAACAACCAAACTCTAGCAAGGCTTCTAGCAGCATAAGACAAAGTCTCTCAAATGACCCCTGCTCCCCAATAAAATGCCTGCCTGAGAAACCTCAAGGTTGCCAGAAGAATATACTGTTTCCTCTAGCCAACACCCGAAGATAAACCCCTGACCTTCTGTTCTTAGAGCATTTACTAAAAGGGCTTACAATTGTGAATCATTCTCCTTTCCCTCTGAGAGGTATATGTATCTCCTATAATTCAGTTTTTTCTTTTTTTGAGTGGAAAGGTTGAATAGTTTATTATTTACACGTAGAAGCTGGAGATGAGGCACAGTTGGGGTGATGTGTTTCTCAAGGAACTCAATGCCATTTCTTTGAAAGGCAATAATCATAAGGAAGGATAGGGCCTCCATCTTCTAGTATCTGTGAGAGAACAGAATCCTAATTTTTGATAACTGCCAGGTAGCACACACAGCTGGCCTCAAGGATATTCACTCTTCGTAATTTTACACTTGAATGCCTGCTCTTCTTCCTTTATTCCCCTTTAAAACTCCAATCATCTCAGCAACATAAATTGGAATGGAGCTCAGCTCTTTCCCCTATCATCAGCAGATACTTAGTAAAATCTGTTTTCACTGCTTTAAATAAAGTCCTTGCTTATCTTTGGCACAATACCAAACTTTGATAATTATCAACCTTTTGCCTATTTTGTTTAATCTATTCTCCCCACCTCTTGCCCCATCCTGAAAAATACTGGAGTGTTTTAAAGCAAATCCTAGACATTACATCTTTTTTTTATCTGAAATAAATTAGCATGCATTTTTAACAATTAAGGCTTTTTAAAAATATATAATCTCAATGGTCCATTTTCATGTTTCCCTGATTCTCTTAAATTAGTTTGAATCAGAACTCAAACGAGTCTCACACATTGTATTTCATTATGGTGTCTTTTATGTCTCTTTAATCTTAAAACAGCACTTCTTCATTTTATGACATGTTTGTCGAAGGTGACTAAATTGTGTCATTATTCCTTTATCATTTCCCTCTTTGTGGAATATGACTGATGTCTTTTTTGTGGTGGTGTCATTTAACTCATTCCTCTATCCTTTGCATTCCTGATAAATTTAGGAGTCAGTTATACAAGCTTCATTATATTCAGGTTCAATTTTGGTAGCGCTGGAGGTGTGTAGTAATTCATAGGTGGTGCTATAAACTCCTATTGAGTCAAATAAGGTGGCATACCATGTCTGATCATTGACTTTTAGCGATGCTAAGATCTGTATTGGATTATTCAAAAAGTCTGTTAAGTTTTTTTTTTTTATGATGGGTCTAGTAGTGCTTAGTTGTCATTAACTTCATTTGAAACAACTTTATCATATTGTGACAAATGTCGTATCAGTGCGCATTAAAAGAAAACATCAAAATTGGTGAATTTTTGTGCAGCCATTTTAAGATTGAAGATGAAAGAAGATCCGCAACATTTTTGGCGTATTATACTTTATTACTTCAAGAAAGGTACAAACTCAACTGAAATGCAAAAATAGATCTGTGTAATGTATGAGGTGCTGTGACTGACTACACATGTCAAAAGTGATTTGCGGCCCTGGCTGGTGTAGCTCAGTGGATTGAGTGCTGGTCTGCAAACCAAAGGGTCACCGGTTTGATTCTCAGGGCACATGTCTGGGTTGTGGGCGAGGTCCCCAGTAGGGGGCAGATG